AAAAAAAAAAAAAAAAAAATTGCTCGCTCGCTTGGACCGCACGCTTCAGTTACCACTTTTTGTTTAGTTTCATTAATTTTAACTAATAATTTTAATTTAATCGATTAGTTAATTTGTGTTTGGTGGGTGTTTCGTGTTTGCTTTAATTTTTCTGAAATTCTTTACGAGAAAACTACTAATAATATATGTGAAAAAGATTTTGTAGAAAATAAAAAATAAAGAGCAATTGATCGGTTTAAAATAGGTGGCAAAGTTTCACAATAGCAATCATTATAGGTAGATCTTGAACATGGTGCAACTTACTCAACAATGTCAAAAGGTCAACCATCAATAATTTCACTTTAGCCTCGTCAATAGCATTAAATTTGGCCACCAATGAACCAGGAAATAATACCTAAATCACATATTCTTTTTTTTTTTACTTATTTTGTATTGTTTTTTTTTAAAAAAAATGCTACAGTCTACCATTCCGTCGGATTTGTAACCGTTATATGATCATGTAACAATCGTAATTGATCTAGAAATTACAAACCCCAACAAAATAGTTCCGTAATGGAACCATAGAATGTCCCCCTTTTTTGTGATATTTATATGTGGGGTTTTCATTTAGTTTATCACTTCAATTAAAGATTGCTACAAAATGACATCATTAATTAATTGAAAAAAGAGAAAGTGGAGGGAATTGGTACATCCCACCTAAATTTTAATTAATACACTATGCCTTGATGTTAGCTTACGTTACGAATATCATTATATTATATAATTTTCTAAATAGACAAGCTTTATGTCAATTCAAGAGTTTTTATGGGGAGAAAACTCACTAATCACTAGTACAATATTCTATCATCTCTGTTTTCACTTTTGTTGTATGAAACAATAAATATATTCAGCCTGGTACAACAGAACTTTAAACATGAAGCCTATGAACTAAGAGCCAACATATTCAGTAAGGGATTAGTTTTCCAACAGATACGCATATTATTCAAAATGAAATGTCACGCTCGTAAAAATAAACATAAATAAAAGTATGATATAACATAGCATAAGTATGTATTTTTTTTAGAAACTCTATTGCAACTCGACCCGCCTAACAGTTACTCGCATAAGAATATGTGATTAAAAAAAAATGAACCTTAATTACACAGAAATCCAACCATGGTCTCCATATACTAGAAAAATACTATAAGGAACTTTATTCTATAATCATCAGAGGCAGAAAAGAAATGAACAAGCATAGAATCAGAAATAATTAATTGCTTTTAATGGGGCCATTACCATTAACAATGCAAAACAGTGCTTCTTATCCAAGAACAAAAGAAACTTTATGAAAAAAAAATAAAAAAAATTAGGTGACTATGATAAAGACATGCTAACCTCTAAATGCTGCTGGGTTTTAACTTTTAAATTTCATGACCACAAGAAAGCATAATACTCAGGTTGTATTCTGTGGAGCTCTGGACAACTGTGGATTTTTAAACAAGTGGCCCTTAGGATTAATTGCTCTTCTTGTTTTGCCAATCAAAATCTTGAAAAGCAATCAAAATTTATACAAACAACAGACAATATCAAGGAACAACAAGGCAAAATAACATCATAGATTCATAATTTATATCTAAAACACAAACTGGTTAACAATATCAAGAAGTACCCACAGATTATGCCATTATGGTTTGTAGGGCATTTAGAATTACCTTTGAGCATAAAATAAGGACCAACTCCTTGATATATGTTATATGTCATATACGTGTGTCCATAATGAAGATTATCTCTGATTCTGTCAAACTCAACGAAAATGCTCGTTATTCCAAAGTCCCTGCATTTCGTTAACTGTAAAGAACGTGTTAAACCAAATACCTCAAATCGTGATGTTGCATCAGATGTTAACACTATCTTTCATTCATTTTGTAGGCCATTTCACCGAACCAGAAATATACGATCTTAAGTAACTTAACGCTGGGCCGCTGGCCACCATAAGTTCTCTGTCTTTTCTGAAAGAACCTCAAAATGCCTCTAGAAATTCACGCCCTTCAAAGTCCAGCCAGCTACCATAATGAGAAGTTGATGATTTTCAGCTCTCCTATCGCAGTTAATGTCAGTCTCTATCTATCAACACAATCAACAGAGAAAAATCTGAAAAAAAAAACTAGATAAACTACCGTTAACAAACACAAATTCTGCAGATTAAAATGAAGTCAAAGCTTATGTTTACCTCAGGGCGAGATCAATTATCAGATGAAAACGCAAACGCCGTCAGCACATTAATCCCACCAAGTCGCCACACAGCTTCACGATCCTCCTCAGGGGCCCGAACGCCCGCCTCGTAGCCCGACCAGACTTGCACTCCTTCGTCCGGGTCCAGCTCCAGTTCCCCCGTCCATGAAGACTGCCACGTGCCTTGGCATCGGCTCTCCCCTGAGCTCCGTCGGAGGATTAGCTGATTCGGGTTCGGCACAGTCAGCCGCCCGCGTCTCCTCGCCGAGGAACACGTCATTTCCAGAGTGCCCGATGGCGGAGGAGAACGCCGAACGCGGCCGGCGAATAGGTGGCTGAAGGAGAGGTGCAGTGTAGAGATTGAGGGACGTGAATCGTTACAGCCATTTTTGGCGTTTGTTTTGGAAATCCGCGCGGGTTTTAGTTTTAGGGTTTTCCCCCCTTTTTTTACGAAATTGGAGGGAGTGATAATTTGAACTCAACACTAGTATTCTACCTGTGCACATGCACAAATGCAAATAAAATTTTATATATTATACGTATATATATGTTTTATGTAAAATTTAAAAATCATAAATTAGATAATAAGCATATCATATTTATAAATTTTATCATTACTATAATGACGATATAAATATAAACTATTTAACGTACATATTAATCTTTAAATTTATACAGTGTTAGTGAAATATGATAATTAATTGGATAAAAAATATTTAAATTATTATTATAATATTTGTGTACAAATCATGAAAAAGTTTGGTTATGCCATAAAAGATAATTAATTAAATGTAATAAAAGAAACTCGCTTAATGAGGTAAAAATATAACAATTTTAAATATATAGTTTAAAAAACATTAGAATAGAATAACATTTATTGTGTCTTTATTATTAATTAATAGTAGCAATTATATAATAAAATAAGTAAAAATATAATTGTGATTAATGCAAAAGTAACGGAAAAAGGCGAGAAAACGAAAAGAGTTTTATTAAATGCTCATGAGCCAGTAATTTTATATATATATATATATATATATAGAGAGAGATCTGCCAGTAATTTTATTAGCTATCCAGTGGATTTTACAAGCTAGAGAGCACAGATGTAAAAACTTTCTCCTTCTCTTGGAAGGCTGGAACTAGATGATCTGGTAGCAGAGATCAATAGATGCTCTTTGCCATTGGAGGGTACTAATGCTATCTTAGATGATGTAAAGTCCCTTATTAAGTGTTGTAATGTCATTGTGGAGATTATTTTTTAATTTGGTTTGTCATTGTTTAGGCTTTGTTGCCTCGTAAGGGGAGGTTCAACCTTCTTTGTGCTTCTTGTGTCTATTTTATAGGCCTTGTAAGTTGTGATCACTTGATTATCGTGTAAGACTTGGGCGTTGAGTTTTATCTAAGTACTAGTACAACACCCGTGTATTACACGGGTGCTTGCTAATTTTTTTCTTAAAATTTAAAATTAATGAGAAAAAATAGTTTGAAAATTTAAATACCTTTTATAAGAATATATATAATATTATATATTTATTATGATACTTTTTATTTGTGCAACTTACTTGTGTTATATTATACTAATTTTTTAACTTATAATATATAACTACATTAAATATAAATATATCAATTGAGAAATAATTTTATTTTTCTAATGAATTTTAATAAATATTATTAGTTTTTATTATTATAAAAATAAATATAATTTATTTATTTATATATACAATATGAATGTCAAATCGAAGATCATCGAAAGATGATTAGTTTGATATATTATATATGTGAAACCGATAAGAAATACAAAAGTTATCTACTTTTAAAATACATTTATAATTCAATAGATTATTGAATGAAGCAAATCAAAATTTAGGGACATATTAGTCACTTAGTGCCTCACTATGTAAAATTACAAAGAATTAAAGGGTTATATTAGTAAAAGTGATATTAAATTACCTAAGTTAGCTAAATAATATTTATGGAATACCCGAACCTAGACTATTAATTATTAATATATTAATATTATTTGTCCAAACTTAATTACGAAGCATGATTTTTCGCCAAATAGGATTTCGAAGCACCAGAAGCAGCCACGTAGGCTCAGCACATTCGGGAATTATATATAGGGAGGATTTTGTTTGT